TAGCTGACAGCTACAGCAAACACCAACAGCCTAGATTGAATACCAACCTAAGTACGATTGCATTTCGCATTTGAATTCTAATTTTTTTTTTCTAAAATCCAAATCACTTGAAATTTAGAGCGTCCACTTTTGAAAAATTGGAAAATCTAATAAAAATATTTAAAAACATAACTAGAAAAATAAATAAATTGACCAAAATTGCCCCTGAAAATTTTTGGGGTATTTTGGTCAATTTATATTCCACGAATTATTTTTTTAGTATTTTATTAGGTGTGCCTTTATGAGAAAATAGACATTCCAAATTTTACTTGATTTGGATTTGTAGAAAAAATATTAAAATTCATATACAAAATAAAGTCGTGATCGTCAGATCAGCCCAGATATTGCTGCTAGTGATGAGGGAACTTAATTGCTAATATGAGTTTATCATATTTGATGTATTGTTAGACTATGGACTTGACTGATGAGTTTTACTGGTTATGTAAGACTTGCAACTTATGATTTGTGACTTTTTGTTTATTGGAAATGTTGAATTGATAATTTACAATGTTGATTTTGGGACATGGGCATCTTTTAATCTTTATAGTTTTAGATTCTGTTCAAAAAATAATTCAATTTCAAATTTGAAACTGATATATGTATGATGTATTAGGGACTCAGATAACATCTTCTATTTGTACTTTTGAAAAAAGTGGATTTTAAGATCAATTTGTGGAGTTTGATTTCCAGTGCAACCCCTCAAATACCATCCTTAGGGCCTAGAACCCCCAACTTCCTAGACGGGCCTGCCCATAGAAATAGGCAACAGCCTAGGCACCCGCTCAGCCACCTAGGCGGCCAAATCCATTCTTTCAACATTAGTCTCGACCATCATGTCGTTAACAAATATACGGGTTTGGTGTCTTGGGGATCAGGCTAACTTTACACGGTCACAACATCCCTTCCACCAAGACTGAAGTACCAAAAGGTTGGTTTGCCCCTCTTGCTCACACACCCTCCTAATGATGGGATTGGGTTCACGCACCCTATATCAGTAGCATGTAATCAGCTTGGCATTCGTGGCCTCAAAATTATCATCACCACCATTCCCTCCCCCATCATCCCCTACAGGTGCCCGATGTACATCGCTTTCCAATTGATCAAGTTGTGGGCTCTCCTCTGGATGCCCCCCTCATCATCCTCCTCTAGATCTCATCTTTTCCTTCCTCCTCACCTATCATTTCAAGAGATGCCCTCTTGCCAAGCATAGGCTGCTCAACTTCCACCAACCACTCAGTTGGATCCTCCAAGAATATGTGATCTAGATCAATCGTGTTAAAGTCCTCAACTACCCTATCCAACTGCCACTTTCTAAAGTTTAAGTTATAATGGATGTATACTAGCTTCTTTAGCCTGAGGGAAATCAATATGTTTCTCTTAGGGGTGCACAACTACAGGAATGTACTCTAGTTTCTCTCACACCTCATAGCAAAACAAGTTTTGCCAATCACCTTAATTGTTATTTCTTGTAAGCTCCTTGTCGAAGGGCCCTGTATAACCCACCATGAACTGAATAAAAGGATAAATAATATAGGGAAAATTACAGAATCCCCCATGCTAGAACAATCTCCCCAAAATACCCCCCGTTGAAAAGTCTCTCTCATGTATTACCCTAAAATATGTTTTTTTTTCCCTAAGTTACATATTTCATAAAACAGTGACTAAATTGCCCTTCTTAAATGCATGACACCAGTCAACCAAAAATTCATACATCTCTTTAACTTTCCCTTTCAAATTTCCATCTCTCTCATTTATTCGTCTCTCTCTCTCTCTCCCCCCTAGAGAAAAAAGTGGTGGCCGACATGTGAGCTCCATGAGAGCTCTAATTGTGGGGTGCTATTGATAGAAGCCAAACCTCCTCAATGGGTTTTTCCCCATTGTCATCTTTCAAGCTCGGAGAGGTCGATACAGACAGAGAGACTGACACCGGTGTTCAAGCCTCTCTCTAACCAATCTGATTGGAGCACCATGAAATCCAAAGGTGATGAGCTCCCAAACATGTTTCCCAATACTTTATGGAGTAACTCAAGTGGACAAGCCTTGTTCTCTGCTTGTGAAGAAGGGTAAAACTCCAACGAATTTGAAGAATTGGGGATCGATTTCGTCACCTCAGAGAAAAAATGTTTGCAGATTTGATGCCCCTTCGACACAACATTAGGAGGAACGTTCGACATAAATGAGGGCAGAGGTCATAGTTATATTTCGCAAGATTACGACACATGAAGTGCAAGAAACTTTGCGAAAGATGAAGATAGAAAACGCTTTAGGACCAAATGGTATCCCGATAGAGGTTTGGAAGTGCATGGGGGAGATTGGCATATGCTAGCTTACCTGTTCAACAAGGTGTTTAGAACAAAGAAAATGATAGAGAAAACGTATTGTAGTGCCATTTACAAGAACAAATAAAACATACAGAATCGTATGAACTATTGAGAGATTAAACTTATGAGCCATACTATGAAGTTGTGGGAGCGAGTTGTTGAGCAAAGACTAAGGCGTGAAAAAGTGTATCATAAAATTAGTCGGGTTTTATACCAGGGAAGAACTATCGAAGCCATTTTCCTACTTAAGTAATTGTTCGAGAAGTTTCGGGTGAAGGGAAAATACCTCCACATGGTCTTTATTGATTTAGAAAAAGTATACGAAAGGATACCTAGATATTTAATTTGGTGGGTGTTGGAAAAGAAAGGAGTCACCAGAGGCTATATTGACATGGTGAGAGACGTGTACAAGGGAGCACTAACTAGTATGCAGACAAGTGAGTTCTCAATGATAATGGGCCCACGTTAGAGGTCAGCAATGAGCTCATATCTCTTTACTTTGGTTATGAATGAATTAACCAGGCACCTACAAGATAAGGCACCGTGGTGTTTGTTGTTTGCGGATGACACATAACGATGAGACTAAAGGACACGTCAACACAAAGTTAGAACATTGGAGGGATGCTCTTGAATCTAAAGGTTTTAAAATTAGCCGGACTACGACAAAATATATGAAATACAAGTATAGTAATAATAGAAGTAGAAACGAGGAAGTAGGTGATCGTCAAGAAATACCTAAGAGAGATTGTTTCCGATATCTAAGGTTGATAATCCAAGAGAATGGAGAGATTGATGAAGATGTTGTACATCCGGAGTTTTATGCGATCATATTATACCATTGTGACTGAAGGGGAAGTTATATCGAATGATTGTAAGACCAGCCATGCTTTATGGGATAGACTGTTGGGCAGTCAAGAAACAACATATCCATAGGATGAGCATAGCTGAGATGAGAATGTTGAGAGATGAGTGGCAAGATAAGTAGGATAAAATTCGAAATAAATATATTTGAGGTAACTTAGATGTAACTTCAATAGGCGATAAGATGAGGGAAAGTAGTAGGCTGGCCATGTGCAATGTAGACCTGATACAGCTCTGTTTAGGAGATACGATTTGATTCAAATAGAAGGCTCTAAAAGGGCACAGAGAAGGCACATGGATAGAATTAGTGAGAAAAGATAAGGTGACTTTTGGTCTTACTGAGGTATGGCCCTTGAAGAATGGAGGAACATGATTAATGAAAACTTAACCCAAATCATTGGGGATAAAGCTTAGATGATGATTTGATGCCCCTTAGATTGGGTTTAGATGGCTTCCCATTAGATCTAATAAGCTTGGTCCTCAACCCTGATCAAGCCGAAGCCTCAGCTTTGGAGGGCCTGTGGGTTCCATATTTGAAGCAAAATTAGGCCTAAAGGCTCCAAACCCATGAGCCATGGTTGAAGTTGATGGAGAAGAAGAGAGATGTCAAATATTCATGGCGTTCATGTTACAGTCATTTCTAACAGCGAGGCTAGTGGTGGCAGCTGATGCAGCGACAGAGGAAAAGCCTTGCTCTCTCTTCTGCCAAGGCACCACAGAAGACTATAAGTGCTGAAGCTGTATTTCCTGAGTGACCAAGGAAAGCCTTGCACTCTCTTCTACCACAGCATCATAAAAGGCTCTATGAGTGATAAAGCTCACCAGAATTCCATCCTGAACGTTTCTTTTCTTCCCACCAGGCTTCCCCTTGATAATACAACTACCATACTCTAATTACAGATATGGGTTTCTCTTATTTCTTGCTGCCAACCCATAATACAGTAATAATAGGCCCAGTAAACTCACAAGACAATTTTCCTTTGCTGTTCTTTTGCTCTCCTCTCAAAGTGGAAAGCGAAGGAACTCAAAATTAGGGGAAAAAAGATGTAGTCCTCTCAATCTTCCTAGACTAAAGTGGTAAGAAGAAAAAAATCTATATGTCATACAGTACAAATAGAATTTTGGTTGTTGATGGTGGGCTACTGCTCAAAGGAAGCTTCTCGAATCGCAAAATTCTGAAACTTCCAAACTGATCTAACAAATAATTCAGCTAAAGAAACCCACCTAGTAATTCAATCCTACAAACCTAATTTCTTCAATTGCAAAGCTCTCCAAAACTCCAAGACCATGCTTCAGAACTTCTAGGATACAAAGTTTTGAGAGAGAAAACTGCTGAAAGAAAGAGAGAGAAATGAATAAGTGAGAGAGAGAGAGAGAAACGAAAAAAATGAGTGTGAGATGGAAATTTGAAAGGGAAAGATAAAAAATGAGAGAGATACGAAATTTTGGTTGACTTGTGTAAGACAAGGGCAATTTGGTCACGATTTTACCTAATATGTACTTTGGGAGGGTAATACATGAGAGAGACTTTTGCAACAGGGGTTTTTTTTAGGGAGAATTATTCCAGTTGGCGGGGGGGGGGGGGGGGGGAGGAGGGGAGGGATTCCCTAATTTTCTCAATAATGTATAAGCAATACCCGAACTAGTATCAAATCAAAACTAATGGACAAGCAATGATGCATAAGGAAGGACATGGAAGCTAACCTAGATCAATCTCAGAGTGTGACACCTTTGCAAGGTTAAATCCAACTGGCCCTCGCACATTCTTAGACATAGCAAGCTGAGAAAGAGACCAAGGTCCAATTCAACAGTTTGAATTCAACATGCCCACTAACTTAAGAAAATTTCTTCACAAGAAAGGTGATTCTTACGTCCCTAAAAGCCTTAACATGTGTGGCTAAGGACGTCGATAGGCAATATTTCACCACTTTTGAGTAGTAACATGTGTGGCTAAAGAAATAACGTAAAAAGTACATACAATTAGAGAATACAACATGCAGGCTAATTACATGTGCCATCTTCAGTAAATCAAATGTGATATTCAAATCTTCAATTGCGTCTTCCATATGTCATCAATGATTTTCAAGACCAACTGTGCAAATTGGCATTTTTTTCTGCCTTTGTTTCCCTGCATAGAGGAGCCCCAAGAGGAGCTGCCTGCCACTATGTTCTCGTACCTGTCTGAAAATCTCATGTCACTAATTAGGACCTCAACTTTCTTTATAGCCTAGGCCCGCCCGCTTGAAACTGCTCATTTGAGGCAACCATCATCCTCAGCCTGGATTGTGACTTCAAAATCAACACCATGGATAAGTAACTAGTTGTAAAGCATGTGATCCCGAGCTTAACCAGCTCCTTCCCACATGCGTACTTCATAATGTGAAGGACTCTAGAATAGTTGTATATGAATTTTGTGATTGATCTCCCTGCTTCCACGATGTCCTTAACACTCATGCGCTGTCAACTCTCTATAGCATTAAGTCAATCCAATGGGAAGCACAAGGGGTCTGCACTAGATGCTTTCTCTTTTCATCAACCTCTTACCTGCAAATACGCGCGCTTCAACATTATTCGTGTAAACTGAACCACATGCTCCTCTCTGACCTCCTACACCACTCTATCTATCCAACAAAGCACACAATAATTCGGAATCCCTCTTGAACTTTGTTACCTCTACACACTAGTGTGGTAGACCATCCTTGCGGACAGCCCATATAAATGCATCGATCATTGCGCGATTGCGAAAACAGGGCATAGAGTCAACTCCTCCACTGCATATGAGCTCGATGGACCCTGCTTAGATGAGGAGGTGGTAGATCGTTCCTTTCTTCTACGCCATTTCCGATCAATTCGCTTTGACACTAGCTAGGGCATTGCTTGTATGTTATTTGCCCTTTTTTTCAATTTAATGGTGGGTTCATGGCATTGAGACAAAGAACTTACAGAGAATAGAAAATCAAGATGGTCAATCAAACTTGTTCTACCATAGGGTGAGTACATTCCAGTGGTGGCACCCCCCTAGGAGTAAGAGGTTCACTTCCCCCAGGCTTCAAAAGCTGGTATATGTCCATTATAGATTGAGAAAGCAATTCTTGGAGATGGCAGTTAAGGACAACAACTTGATTGATCTAAATCACATATTTATGGAGGACCTAGTTGAGGAGTGGTTGGTGGAAGTGGAGCAACCAGTGCTTAAAACGATAGACGGTGGGAAGGAGATGATGAGAGTCAGCATGGAGGACTACGGGGGGACCAACCATAGTTCAAGCAATTTGAAGGAGATGTACATGGGGAACCTATAGAGTATAATGGAGGAGGAGGTAATCATGATTCAAACGCAACTAATCCCAACCCAATGTACATGATGACATAAGGGGCATGAGCCTGAGCTCGAACAGCAGGAGGGTGGGGGCGAGCATGAGGGGTGAATCATCCTTGGGGAATTCAACCTAGATGTTGGGGATACCATGGCCCGGTGTAGTCAATTAATTTCAAGGATCCTAAACCCCCAGACTTATTCCTCAATCAATGAGCTATCACGTCATTCCTTTTGGTATTAGATTGTATGTTTCGACTCATTTAAACATAATATTGATATTTAGTCAATCCTATAGATGTCAATAGTGAGATCTAATGCAGTTTACACTAGGAAATGATTTTGTGGCACTCAAAAAGGAACCAGACTCGGTATTCACACATGCTTGTAATAAATTTTCAATTCTTTCAACAAATCCACCTATTATAATTTTAGAATTTTTTAGAATTTTTCTCGAATTTTTCTCAAATTGTGAGCTCAGTACGGTCAAACCAATCTGAATCGGTTGGTTCACCAAGTCAACTCAGGACCAGCAAGTGACAGATTCAGCCTCCCAATCCAACTTTTGAAAAACTGATTATTAAGACTAGTAGCCTACCCGTATTACTGCTACTACAATCAAGAGGCTGCTTCTACTCCGAATGTTGTTGCTACTGCAGGCTGTTTCTACTCCTAATGTTGTCGCTACTGCTATTGCTATTGCTACTGCCATTGCCACTGCTACTGCCACTGCTAATGCTGACACTACTTGTAGTGTTAGTTCACAGCTAGTCTGTTCATGCTACCACAACAACCACTGCTGATATTAATATTTCCACATATTTATTTATCAACAATCATCTTTTATTTTTATTTATTTTGGGTGGGGGGCTGGGAATTTACAAAGAAATATTTCTACAGTTTTATTACTGCTGCTTCCATTTTAGCAACCGTATAATGCAGTCCACTTTTTGATTTGCATTGTGTATTATCAAACTAGAAATCCCTTCCTCTCTAAACTATTTTGCTAGGCTATACTAACCAGAACTTTATCAAATGATTCACTAGTTCTTTTCATTCAATCTTTCATATCAGGGTTTTCAAATAGTGTTTACTGTGATTCCTTGGGATCATTGCTGAAAAATGAATATCCAAACTCTGGAGCAGAAAAAAAGAAGGAAAGCCAGTAACTACCATACATGGGAAATTTGTGGGAGATAAAGAGGCCACGTAGGAAACAGTAAACAGGAAAATAAATGGTGATAACGAGGGCACATAGGAAACAGTAAACAGGAAAATAAATAAAGAAATGAGAGATGGGGGGTCAAATGGTGATATAACATGAGATAAAATTCCATAAATTTACAAGGAAAAAAGATGAGGAAAAATGGGTTCAGGGACATAATTGGCGATAGATAAAATGATAAACTAGGATAAATGGTTCGAACAAATAATCAAAGGCAAAAAAATAACGAAAAGTGTCAGAAAAAAGGGAAGATCACAGTCGATTGAAGCTTGCGGGAGAGATTGTCACATGAAAATATGCACAAAAAAAATCAAAAAATTAGAGAAAAAATGAGTATCTCAATACTTACATAGTCGGAGCATCATCGGGAGTTGCAGCTAGAGCTGCTTCTATCTCAGAAGAAGCCATTGAAATGGCACCCAAATGTGACCCCAAAACCCTGATCCTCCTTATATCCTCTCTTTCTTGTGAATTTTTCATTTCCGTTCAGCACCAGTGATTCTTAGACGACGGGAGCCACGAGACAAAGGGATCTTGATTTTTGAGAGATAACATAAAAGACCCTTACGTTTTGCCAAAATATCAATGTCAACCCTATCCAGAACTCCTAATACTGTGAAATATATGGGCCATTGGACCGGGACCGGGACCGGGACCGAGTACCGACTCAGGACCCGACGGCTGGACCTCCCCTATGACCAGGTACGGGTCCAAAAATTGGACCTAGGGTGGGTTCAGGTCTGGATCTAAGCCAAGGTCCCACATTATATTTTCAGGTCTCAATTTGTGAAATATAATTAAATATATAGATATTTTGATTTTTGGTTGGATTTGAATGGGTCTAGCCAGACACGGATCTAGATGCAACACGACTTGTTGCCACCCGTAATATGACATGGATGCTACCATACCTATATTTGTATGTATGCTGAACCTAGATCCGACCTCCTAGGTCTAAAAGAAAGACCATTGTCACCCGCGATATACATAACTAATTGCTAATCTGGATAAGATTATGTGAGTAGGGGGTCCCTTAAGACCCCTACACAATCTCTCTTATCTTATTTTTATTATTCTTGCCTAACGAATTTTCATTGGTTCGATCAATCTCATCAATTCGATTAATCGGTATAGCGAGTGGACAATCGAAAACCTACTTCCAGTTTTTCAAAAATGATCTAGACCCAAGTTCGATTGCCCCGGACGGATCTACAACATGGACCTGCACCCTAATCGGGTCGACCCCAACCTAGACCACCCAAACACCCTCTTAAAGAAACTTATGTGGACCATGGTACCTAATTATTGTGAGGGTAGTGGGGTAATTGAGTATATATTATGCTTAAATTTAACGTTGATGCTTATGCTTTGGATGTTGACTCAATAATTTTCTATTAACATTTCTTAGGTGTCAATGAGTTGGCGGAATCATATTTATGTTATGAGCATACATGGTATACAGGGAAATTTTTGGGTTTAAAAATTTGGTGGTCGTACATTCAATCACGTCATAAATTCTCGAACTGTTTTTTTATTACTTCCGACTTTGTAGAGGTGACAACAGTTTGGGTTAGGTCATTGTCCAACTGGACGCATAATCAAAAAAAATTATGGGACTTAGAT